ACAGCAGCGCAAGGGGCGCACGTGTTGCCCAAATAAGTGGGTCACTGGTCGATACTGAATCGGGTCGAACGCGTGCTTTTCCAGGCCTGCCGGCCGGGTTTCTGGAGCAGCAGGAATCATGCCCGATTTTACAGCGGTGCAACCGGCGTTTATCAACAAAGTGCGCATATTCCCGCTTTCAAAATCCCATCCATCCAGCCAGGAGAATCCGCCGCCTATTTCCAGTATTTTTAGGAGTCAGACTGGTGACGTCGATTGGCCGTCCTGCCAGCAGATGATGCGCCGTGTGAATCATTGCGTCCGATCTTTCACAAACAAATAGTCAAGTTGTTGTAGGCGAAATGCGGCAACTGTTTCAGTAGTATTTTGCATCTTGATGGTCTGATGCGTGGTTCCAAGTTGGGTTTGGAGTTTTTCAAAAATTCCTATCGGAGAACTTGGCGCGTCTAAAGAGATATTTGCTCAACTTGGTAGAGAAACTATAGATTTACTTGTGTGCTGATTTGCAACGTTGTCAAATTTTCGGTTATTTTTCAAAATTTTCCAGACTTTTTGAGGTTATCCCTTGCCATTTCCACTCATGCCTCCATCTAAGCAGCATTTTTCCCAACTCCGTTCCACCATCTCTTGAAAGTTTGAGCCCAATTTGGAAAAATGGTCCTCCCTTTCAACACAATCTGCAAAAAACCCACTGGGTTCTGTTTGTTTGGAGTTTTTAAGGGTTATGTTCTGTGCTATCAGTTTCGCGATAAACCAACAGACAAAGCCAGATGAATGAAGTGTAAAACCAATAATGATTACGGCTTGGAGTAGCAAAATCGTGAAGAAATAGTTGGATGTGACAATGACGAAATCAAACACTGTCCATTCACTAGTCATTACTGAGGTCCAATAAAAACAGTAAACAACAATAAGTGAGCCATTAACATTTTCCAAATGCAAAGCAGGCCGTTCTTTGTTTTCATGACACTGTCGAGATGCGTTTGTTTATTTCGGTATCCTGATTTCCGCTCATGCGCCTTTCGGCCGATTGACGATCTAAACTTAGACGGCCAGAACGAACCATCGAGACCTGCAAGGGACCATTCAATGGCCTCAACTTAGCTGGTCTGCTGGACAATTTGTGCGTGCTAGTTTGACCTCTTTCACAATCAAGTTGTTCAATTTTCATCGCCGGTTTCGACGATGCTTTAGCTTAGAATGAACCAAACCTACTCTGTTCCAAGTGGTTTGACAGTGATGCAATAATTGTGCGTTACCGAACTTTTCTGTTATTAATTCGAATTCGGAATATTTCCTGCAATTTTTTTGAGTTTATACACAGTTGCTATTAAAATTATGGACTATTTGCATAAATTAGTGCAATTAGTGCATTAGATCGTTTAGATTGTGGAGCTATAAGAGTGGTAAAGGTTGGGATTTCACTCTGCTCAAGAGTATTTTTGAGGGTTTTTGATCTGGATCGCTTGGTCACCTCAACTGCTTCAAACTGAGGATAGTGGGCAAGCAGTTGGCCAATTGGGGGGGTCAGAATCTTCATTTCTTCTGCAGTGGTTTACCCTAGACACTTTTTGGGAATTTTTCTGCAAATTTCGGCAATTGGTGTTTTGTTGGTGTGAAGTTTGACCTCCAGCTCAATCTGATGGGGATTTTCGACACCGGCAAGCTTTGCCTCGGTCTGCCCTCATCGACCTACTGGGCCGCAGGTGGGAATTTTAATCTGGTTAAGAGTATTTTTGAGGGTTTTTGATCTGAATCGCTTCGTCACCTCAACTGCTTCAAACTGAGGATAGTGGGCAAGCAGTTGGTCAATTGGGAGGGTCAGAATCTTCATTTCTTCTGCAGTGGTTTACCCTAGACACTTTTTGGGGAATTTTCCTGCAAATTTCGGGAATTTGTGTTTTGTTGGTCTGAAGCTTGACCTCCAGCTCAATCTGATTGGCATTTTCGACATCGGCAAGCTTTGCCTCGGTCTGCCTTCATCGACCTACTGGGTCGGAGGTGGGAATTTTACTCTGCTCAAGAGTATTTTTGATCTGGATCGCTTTGTCACCTCAACTGCTCCATACCGAGGATAGTGGGCAAGCAGTTGGTCAATTGGGGGGGTCAGAATCTTCATTTCTTCTGCAGTGATTTACCCTAGACACTTTTTGGCGAATTTTCCTGTAAATTTCGGCAATTTGTGTTTTGTGAGTTTGAAGCTTGACCTCCAGCTCAATCTGATGGGGATTTTCGACACCGGCAAGCTTTGCCTCGGTCTGCCCTCATCGACCTACTGGGCCGGAGGTGGGAATTTTACTCTGCTCAAGAGTATTTTTGAGGGTTTTTGATCTGGATCGCTTCGTCACCTCAACTCCTCCAGACCGAGGATAGTGGGCATGCAGTTGGTCAATTGGGAGGGTCAGAATCTTCATTTCTTCTGCAGTGGTTTACCCTAGACAATTTTTGGGAAATTTTCCTGCAAATTTCGGCAATTTGTGTTTTGTTGGTCTGAAGCTTGACCTCCAGCTCAATCTGATGGGCATTTTCGACACCGGCAAGCTTTGCCTCTGGGCCGGAGGTGGGAATTTTACTCTGGTTAAGAGCATTTTTGAGGGTTTTTGATCTGGATCGCTTCGTCACCTCAACTGCTCCAGACCGAGGATAGTGGGCAAGCAGTTGGTCAATTGGGAGGGTCAGAATCTTCATTTCTTCTGCASTGGTTTACCCTAGACACTTTTTGGTAAATTTTCCTGCAAAYTTCGGTAATTGGAGTTTTGTGAGTTTGAGGCTTGACCTCCAGCTCAATCTGATGGGCATTTTCGACACCGGCAAGCTTTGCCCCGGTCTGCCTTCATCGACCTATTGGGTCGGAGGTGGGGATTTTACTCTGCTCAAGAGTATTTTTTAGGGTTTTTGATCTGGATCGCTTTGTCACCTCACTGCTTCAAACTGAGGATAGTGGGCAAGCAGTTGGTCAATTG